TAGCGAAACCCCCCGCGTTGTGAAGACCGTTGGCTTCCTGATCCGCGGGATGGTGATCGGCCACGGCTGTCCTGGCTGGAAGTCCGTGGTCGACTCGGGCTTCGTTCAGGAGTCTTTGCACCAGGTGCGAGATGAGCGTATTTGCATTTGTCGCCTTTTGTGCACTTGTTCTGTGCGAAATCCTTGCACTGTGCGACGTGCGGGTAGTTACATTTATCACCTCTGGTACATGTGTCGCGCTTGGCAAAATCGAAGCAGAATGGCCTTGATGCCGGCTTCTTGTGATTCGCAGGAGTGGACATACTACGGCGGGGGTTGCCACCAGCCGTTGATGTTCTGGAAGATTTGTTGTTCTTCCAATCCCTGGAATATGTATGTAAAGCCTTGCATCGTTCACCGTTGCGACAATTGCCTTTCTTCCATGCAGCGCACACGTTGACCTAAGATCGTGTCTCGTGTTCGTACCGTAGCTTGTTTTGATTTTTCTCCAATTGTTTAATCTCCAGTATGTCCAGGACACGCTGTCGAAGCCAACCGTAGGTACGATTCGGGTCGCTCATCTTCATGCGCTGGTACTCGTACATGTCTTGTTTCATCCATGCATGTCTACGAATCTGCGTGCGAAATAGCGATTCCAATATCTTTGGATCGGGTACTTCTCGGCATTCCAAGAGTAAGGCGTCCCAATCGGTAATGAAACGTTGCAAATCTTCGTCTCTCATCCTCAGTTCTTTAAGGCGCTCGAAATCGTGCAGATCGTCGTCAACGTCTGTCACTTTGTAGGACTGTAGGATATGCCAGTATATCTGGCGTCCTTTGAGCATGCGTCCTGCTTTGTGCTCTCTGGCCTCGATGAGCCTGATTTGGTAGCGTAAGTCTGAGGATAAGATGTCGCTCAAAGCAGTTGCGAGTTTGCAATCGATGCTCTCAAAGTCTCCACTGTCTTGTAAATCCTCGAATGTACATTCGGGCTGTTCTGCCACGCATAGGAAGGCGCATGCTTTGGATGGTCGCCCTGAGGCGGCCCCGAAGTTCTTTCGCACTCTTTGCTGCAACTCCAGCAGCTGCGTGATCTTAGGCAAGACAGGTACTCGGACGGTGTCTGACTCCTTGATAGGCGTCGTTGTATGTACCGACACCGCAGACACTGGTTGTGAGGGTATCGGTGCACCGTCGATGGTTGGTTCTGTGCGCACAGGAGACACATGACGTGTCTGTGCAGAAGCTGCCGCGGAGGCTGCTCCTGGAGATGTACGTCGTTGTTGTCCTGCTGAAGCTTGTGGTGCTTCGGCGGACGCTGCCGTCGGCCTGTGCAGGTCGGCTGCAGGTCGAAGGTGAATGTTGGTGTCGTTAGTGTGGTCGATCAGCTGATTTGTCCAGCTCGTCATATCTTCTTGTATTTGACCCACCTTTTGGCGTGTATACTCATCAGTATCCCGAGACCGTTGGGAATGCCGATCAAGTCGATGCTCGCATGCTCGGAGACGGGCGCTTTGTGCCTCCACCTCGCTTTCCAGACGTGCGAGGTAACTCTCTACACGTACCTTCTCAGTATCTCTTTCATGAATAACCTGGGAGAGCTCTAACTGCGCGTGGTCCGCCGCCTTCTCAACCTCCTGCAACCTGTCAGTGAGGCGGGCGAAATCGTAAACCGCGGGAGGAGAATCCAGCTGGCCAGTCTGGGCTCGTCCGACACGCAACTCTGCCAGGGCGTCCTGTACACCAGGAAAACGCTGCTCTATGTCAGAGATCCGGTTAGCGAGTGGCTGCACGACAGCGTTGGTCGCATCAAGCCTTTGAGTGATGACTCTCTCAGTACGCTGCAACATGTCGATCAGGTTCGACGAGTTTGTGTGTGCTTCGGCACGAAGCGTCGCCGTAGTGTGGTCTAGGTAAGATCGAAGATCATTGATCTGAGACTGAACGTCGCCGAGGTCTGTGGCCTACCGCAGAAAATCTCGTCGAGCTGAGGTCTGTCGCCGAGCTGGTCGTGGATCTCATCATGTAAAATCCTGACCGCAGAAATGCCTGTGTCGCGTACGATCACAAGTTGTTGCTCCATCTGCGCGAGATAGTTGCGCAGGTTCTCGACCATCGCCGTTCGTTCACCTGAGTGTGACACCTCACGATCAACCTGGTACTGCAGTTCTCCTATGATGCGTCGATCTTCGGCGATCCTGGAATCGATGATCCCTAAGGCGCCGTCAAGATCGCGGCGTATGGCTGCAGTATCGTGGCGTTCGTCTGAACGCTCTGTAGTAGTCCAGAGTATTGGCTGGACACGAAGGTTTCAACCTGGTCTCTGAGCTCAGCTATGTCACCTGCGGCGGACGTCTCCGCCAGCTGGTCGTCTGAGATGGAGAGGTGGGGAGCGTCAGCTTCCCTGTGTCCCCTGTCGCGGGGAGTGCATGGCCTCTGAGAGGCAGTGCGCGGGCTCGACCTGCTTTCGCCGTATGGGCCTGGGGCTCCACGGCGGTTGCGCGCGGACGAGCTGCGACTCGGACCATGTGTGTGGTGTCTCATCCGATGATACCTTGGGGTACCGCGTCTGTGGCTGTGCCGACACTGGTCTACTGAGTTCCTCGAAGGTAGCTACGTGCTCCGCCACAGGGACGGTCGCAGGGCTGGGGGTCCCAGCACCTGAGGTCCATCGGCGGTTAGCGCGAAAGCGCCCTGGAGTATCGAGACCGGTAAGGCTTTCGCCTGACGCGGTTGGGATTGCTCCCGACGGGGAAGGGGAGGGAGGATCGAAGGTCGGCGTGTGAAACTCCTTCCTTCCTGTTCCTACTCCTTCTCCTGTCCCCCCGCGGGCGGCGCCGCGGCGAAGTTCAGCAGCTAGACGCGCCTCGGGTCCTCGGGAGCTGGGGGGGGGTATCGGGGACACCAACACAGTCCGCACTAATGCTCTCCAACTCGTCACCGAGCCGTCGCACCGTGGGAGAGCTTGGACGCGAAGCCCCAATGGAACCCTTACGGCGCATGCGCCGAAGTGGCTCCATCAGGCTCGCATGCAAGGTCACCGCGGTCGAGTCGGTGAAGGTGAGCGTTAAAGGGCTGATAACCTGTATATGGGGTTGAAGTACAAGGGTACAGAACCCCTGGTCCGTTGGTAGAGAGATGGAGGGATAGATGGATATCTTTCCCTCCCACGCGATCAAGGTACGATCGCTCCAACTCAGTACCCGAGCCCAAACGGCCAGGTGCGGGAGAGGTAAGGATAAGGAGTATATATGAGGGTATTACACGGGTTCCTTCCACAGCATCAGCCTGCCTCAGCCTCAGCCTGCCTCTGCCTCAGCCTCAGCCTGCTTCAGCCTCAGCCTCAGTCTGCCTTCAGCCTCGGCCACAGCCTCAGCCTGCCTCAGCCTCAGCCTGCTTCAGCCTCAGCCTCAGCCTGTCTCAGCATTCAAAATGTGGCCCGGGAATGGAATTCTGGAAACTCGAAGAACACGAAGTGGCCTACAGTTGGCTCCGGGCATTCAAAATCATCCCCAGGAATGGAGTTCAGGGAACTCGAAGACCACGAAGTGGCCTACAGTTGGCTCCGGGCATTCAAAATGTGGCCCGGGAATGGAGTTCTGGGAACTCGAAGAGCACGAAGTGGCCTACAGTTGGCTCCGGGCATCCAAAATGTGGCCCGGGAATGGAGTTCTGGGAAGTCGAAGAGCACGAAGTGGCCTACAGTTGGCTCCGGGCATCCAAAATGTGGCCCGGGAATGGAGTTCTGGGACGTCGAAGAGCACGAAGTGGCCTACAATTGGCTCCGGTTATTCAAAATGTGGCCCGGGAATGGAGTTCTGGGAGGTCGAAGAGCACGAAAAGTGTGACTGTTGGCTTAAAACGAGCCCGGCTCTGTTCCCGGATCTGTTCCCGGTTCTCCTCCCCGGCACCCGCCCAGACCCCCCTGAGGAGTCATGATGCTCTCTTTTGACCCTACTAGAAACCTATCAGCAAAAGCTGTTAGGTAATGAACGCTGGCTTTAATAATTACCGCTCGCAGCGGCCCCGCGAGTCTCAAGAACGCAGCATTCGCATTTACATGGCTCTTAGCTCTAATTGGATCTGCCGCCCCATCTACTAAAGCCTGGCAATACACCTTCAGAGTGGTAGTATCCGTACGTAGTCTGCAATGTCCATTGGACGCCATCATCCCGAAGTGCTCCACCGCAATAGCAGTCTGCGGTGAGTCCCTCGGTACTGGTCCCTTAATCCACCTAAGAAGCGCCCCCACATCAGTCACCTGCAACGAGCCGCTCCTCCTCCTCCTCCTCCTCCTCCTCCTCCTCCTCCTCCTCCTCCTCCTCCTCCTCCTCCTTCCTACCGCGCGGACGAAGACGAGGTGGAATCATGACCCGCCCCAATGCAGACTACTCGTCGAAATTGCCCTGTTCCTACACTCCGCCTCCGTCCAGGCACTGTGGCGGGGTTTGCTGCAGGCAGCTGCATCGAATTCTGATGGCGCTCACCTGGAGATCATCTCGAGCGGCTTTGAGCGCTCTCGGGCCGTCTTGGACCATCTTGGGCTCTCTTGGAGGCTCCCTGGATCGCTCCTGGAGCGCTTTCGCAGTCCCGAGGGCGACGCACAGGGGAAATACCATCTCTGCATCGAGGTTGTGGGCGCAGTGGTCGGGGTACGTTCGTCCAGGACTCCCAGGGGCGGCCGCGCGCGCGAAGCAGACGTATTCTAGACAAGCGCGTTCCACTACTCTCAAAGGAATTGCTCGCGCGTGGCCTGGATCTGCCGGGGGGATCTACGATGAATTACATTGAGGCCAACGTGGGTTTTTGCTGACTCCAAGCTGACGTTTGCGAGTAGCCACTATTGCGAGCAGTGGAATGCGCTCGGTGAGATTCGGAGCCAGTTGCTGGAGATCTTCGCACGCCTCTGGCCCGCTGAGCCGAGCTATGATGACGCTCCCCCCATAGCGCTCGCGCGCTGTCAACCTCCCCTGCTGCCCCAGTGTGCCTTCCCTGCTGTGGTCGAGCTGTCCCGTTCGATCCTCGTCGTCCTCGGTGTCCTCGTCCGCGGCCTCCATGACGGGCACGAGCATCGCGCCCCGCTTCCAGGCGCGCGGACACCTCGCCCGGAAAGGTTGGCGTGCCCGCGTCCTGTTTGCGGCACGGGGTGGTACGCGACAACGGAAGCCGGCGAGGCAAATGTCCAAGCGGGATCACAGGTGAGACACGGCGGCCGCCCTGCCCTCGGAGACGCATGCCGTTCGACGCCAGGCCTCCTGAGAAGCGAACTGGACCACACCATAGCGAGCTGGGATTCAAGTCGGCACGTGGAAGCAGCCTGCGTGAACATCTTGATGCTCCCTGATTCGATGCGCCGCTGGATGGACCTAAGCCCGAATGCCCTGTATGGCGACTTGCCGCCGAATCCAACGTGAGCGAGCCACTGGCTTTGAAACGCTCTGGGTCGACCCCCGAGGCCTTCCGCGCTGAAACCATCCGAGGGCCTTCGTAGCTAGGGCTCCCAACTTCGCGCTTCGCGCTCCGCGAAGCGCGAAGCGCGAATAACTTCGCGCCCTCGCGCCGCCCCCCCAAAGGGAGAAAAGGAGGACGAGGAGGAGGGGGGAGAAAGAACGAGGACCGCGAAGCGCGAAGCGCGAATAACTTCGCGCCCTCGTGGGAGCCCTTGCGTAGCGCCAAAACCATATCCAAAAGGGCAAGCCCTGATCCCACATGCACCCACCTGAGGGGTTGTGTTCTGGAATGCTGGATCTGGCGACCAGGTGGGGGGAAGGCTTGCTTACGAGATTCCTGCCTCTTGGCTAGCTCAGCTTTGCTGTAAGCTTTGGGTCAAATACCTAGAGAAATCCGATCGACATAATCGTGGCGATTACCCTCATCTCGGCCCACACGGGTTTGCAAGTTGTTTGAGCTGCTGAGCTGCATAGAACACGCATGCCGGGCTTGCAGGGGACGACGGGAGGGAGGAGGAGGAAGAGGAGGAAGAGGAGGAGGAGGGGAGGAGGAGGAGGAGGAGAAGGAGGAAGAGGAGGAGGAGGAGGAGGAGAAGGAGGAGGAGGAGAAGGCGGAGGAGAAGGAGCAGGGGACGACGGGGACGGGGAAGAAAGAAGGAGGAGGAGGAGGAGCAGGAGGACGAGGAGGAGGAGGAGGAGGAACAGCAGCAGGAGGACGCTACAATCGTAGGAGTCAAGATCGCCCAACGTCCGAAAGGAGGATGATGAGGCAAGAGAAGCATGATGATGATGATGATGATGATGATGATGATGATGAGGAGGAGGAGGAGGAGGAGGAGGAGGAGGAGGAGGAGGAGGAGGGGGGAAACTTCCACCCAAATTGCTTACGATCGTTGCCGTCCGAGCGCAGTGGGTAAAACTCTCCGCGGGCACGCAGGCCGAGCCGCAGCCCCGTGTCAGGCATCGGCAAGCAAATCCCGACGGCTGCCCATCGTCCATGTCAGAGCGTGCAGACGGGCAACCGCGGGCGAGAATGCAGGAGATGATGGGGAGGGGGCAAAGGCGGTCGGAAGTTCACAAGAATGGAGGGGGAGTGGGAAACAGGAGTAGGAGGAGGCAACAGGTGAAGGCAGAGGCAAATGACGAAAGAACCACACACACTCAGCTTTAATAGGCTGACACATTAAGAACAGCAAGGCAAGGTGGAGAAGGCGCGCTAGGCACGGTTGCGAGTTGTCGGGCCCGAAGGGGGGCTCCCAATAGAGCGGGGACCTCCATCCGACAAAACACACATCCGCACACCACCCCCTGAATGCCACCCTCAGAAACATGGGCGTCGGATCGCCACTTATCGTTTTCCTGGCCCATCAGCCATTCCTCCTCCCTCCTCCTCCTCCTCCTCCTCCTCCTCCTCCTCCTCCTCCTCCAACTCATAAGATCAGGTGGTCGGAGGCCCGACCGACCGCAACAGGAGCGGGGGACGCGGAGGGAAGCTGGGGCAGAGGGAAGCGGCGAGGGCGGCGAAGACCAGTCCGCGGGCCAGGCTCCCCACGCAGCGTCGCCCCTCGAGGGGCCGAGCCACTCGATGTGAAACACAACTCCTCCTCCTCCTCCTCCTCCTCCTCCTCCTCCTCCTCCTCCTCAATTGCCCGAGATCAAACCACTTTTTCCACCAGAAATCAACCAGTGAAGTTTCAGTGATGTGCGTGGGCCCAGCCCAGTTCAGCTCCACTTAGCGTCCTGGGATTTACCTCAAGACACCCACTGAGCCACGCCTGACACCAGGATCTCGCAGGGAGCTACCTATCAAATTCCGCGGGTCCCTTGAATCGCAGGCGTCGGCGTCGGGCGTCGGCGTCGGTCATCGGCGTTTGACATCGGTGTCGGGCATCGGCGTCGGCGTCGTCCTCGGCGTCGTAGTCGGCGTCAGCAGCGCTGCGTCGTCGCCGGCGTCGGGGTCGTCGTCAGCGACGGGGTCGGGCATCGGCGTCGGCGTCGGCGTCGGCGTCGGCCTTGGCCTCGGCGTCGGCATCGGCATCGGTGTCGGCGTCGGCGTCGGCGTCGGCGTCTGCGTCGTCGTCGTCGCCGCCGCCATCGTCGTCGTCGTCGTCGCCGTCGTCGTCGTCGTTGTTGTCGTCGTCGTCGTCGTCGTCCTCAGGGAACCCATTCACCCCAGAAGCCATTGGGAGGAAGGGAGAGAGGACGCCAAGGAGGGGAGAGAGGACGCCAAGGAGGGAGGGAGGGAGAGGGCGCCACGGAGAGGAGAGAGGACGCCAAGGAGGGGGAGAGGACGCCAGAAGCCATTGGGAGGGAGGAAGAGGGCCTGGGAGGGAGAGATGACGCCAAAGAGGGGAGGGAGGAAGAGGGAGGAGGGGGGAATGGAGGGACCCTCTCCCCCCAGGAGGCGGGGAAGCCCTTGCCTTGTGGCGACCCTGGAAGCTCGAACACTCCCAGGGAGGGAGACATCCGAGAAATCCGCGCGGACCTCCAAGAAATCATTCAAACATCGCCCTTCTCCGAAAAGCTCTCGATCGTCTAGAGACCTCCTAGATGGGGTCCGAGTAAGTGGGATCGGAGGATCGCGCGGCATCGCCAATGCATCGCCGATGTATCAGCGATGTGTCGGCGATGCATCCGTGACGTCGACAATGCATCGGCGACGTCGGCGTGGGGAAACACGGTCTCCACATCGAGCCGCATCGTCGATGCATCGTCGATGCATCGAGCGACCTTCCGACCCCATCTAGTCGGACCCCATCTAGGAGGCCTGGATCATCGAACCTCGATCATCGGAACTCGCGGGCCCTTCCCGCCAAACAGGATCAGTCAGCATACCAGGGGGAGGGAAGGGAGGAGGAGGAGGAGGAGGAGGAGGAGAAGGAGGAGGAGGAGAAGGAGGAGGAGGAGGAGGAGAAGGAGGAGGAGGAGGGAGGGAGGAGGCCCCGCCAGACAGGATCGGTCGGCATTCCATCGGGAGATCGGCGCCCGCATCGGGGCGTGCGCTGGAGCGAGCGGGCCGCGCCCGCGCGGAGACGGCATCGAATATCGGACCGGATCCGCGCTGAGGCGCACACCTGCGCTTAGGTGGGGCGTGTCCAGCTACAGGCGCATTCGCGAGGAGGCACGAAAAATACTGGCAAAAAAAATGGAACAGTAGCACAACAAAGTTTAGAAACGTCGACCCCAGCCTATCTTGGCTCTCTGTGAATGTTCCTCCCGTAGAGGGACGTGCCCGACTGAAAACTACGCCATGAAAGAATCGGGCCACATCAGATCGCTGGGACATCGGTATCGGGTCGGATCGAGGAACGTGGCATCGGATCGGATCGGTCGAACCGAGATGGGCCCTCCCCCGCCGGGCGCAGGGGGTAAAACATCCAGCGCGCATCGGCGGTATACCGCCGGTTGATCGGCGATGGTGAAATGGCCCACAAACACACAAATAAATACACACAAATAAAAAAAATCCCTATATTTTCCATATTTTCTGGGTTTCTGTCTTCCCCCCCACTTCCCATATTTTCCCATATTTTCTGGGGAATCGGCGATTAATTGTGTTTGTGTGTTTTTTCCCCTCCTGAGATGGGAATCCCGATGGCAAATCCGAGCGCTCCTGGGCGGAGTGGGCTACTGGGCCCCTGCCGGAAATGACTGGGCGATTGGGGGCCGATGCATCCCCCCCCTTGAGCAAGGGCTCCCAACTTCGCGCTTCGCGCTGCGCGAAGCGCGAAGCGCGAATAACTTCGCGCTCTCGCGCCGCCCTCCCAGAAGGAGAATAGGAGGACGAGGAGGAGGGGGAGAAGGAACGAGGACCGCGAAGCGCGAAGCGCGAATAACTTCGCGCCCTCGTGGGAGCCCTTGGAAATGACTGGGCGATTGGGGGCCGATGCATCCCCCCCCTTGAGCCTGTCCCCCCCCCCCTCAGCGTTGCCACGGCTGGCTCTCGGGCCACAGCTCGGGCCCGAGGCGGCCGTCCCGGGGCGAGGCTCCGACTCGACACCTCCGGGGAGCGCCAGAGGGCGAGGCGGCTAGCCGCTGGGGCGCACCCCGAGGCCGGCAGGGGCCTCCGGGAACCTGCGGCAACGCTTGGGCGTGGCTTAATGGGGGGGTCACAAATGGGGGGGTCAGAAACGGTCCCCTTTCGTGCCCCTTTCGGGCCCCTCCGAGGCCCCAGGGGGCTCGTTTGGGTACCGTCTGGGTACCTTTTCGGACCACCCTCGCCACCCCCCCATTTATGACCCCCCTATTACGCAACGCCCACCCAACGCCGGAAAACCTCACGCTCCGGACCTCGAGACTCCGCCCCCCCCTGGGAAGATCCCCCCCCGCCACGCCCCAGCGTTGCCCCTGCTGGCCCGCGGCGCCCGGGGGTGGAGAAGCGGGGGGGGCTTCTGCGAAGGAGGCTGCCGCATCTTAGAAGGCGGCGGCGGCGGCATCGGGGAAAAGCGAGGAGGAGGAAGAGGAGGAGGAGGAGGAGGAGGAAGAGGAGGAGGAGGAGGAGGAAGAGGAGGAGGAGGAGGAGGAGGAGGAGGAGGAGGATGGGGGGAGGCACAGCTCTATCCACCCGTTTCTCAAAACCGTCCTGCTGAGGCCCGCGCTTTGTGAAAAGCAGGGGTGCTTGTATCGGGGAGAGGGGCGGCTCGGGTTCGGTTGGCTCGGGTTGGCCTGATGGGGCCATCA